AGAGAGAGAGAGAGAGAGAGAGAGAGAGAGAGAGAGAGAGAGAGAGAGAGAGAGAGAGAGAGAGAGAGAGACAGAGAGAGAGCTCATACAGCTTCATCAGCTTCTCCTGGGAAGGTGATCTTCTGGCCATTTTGCATCCCCTTCTCAACAATGACTTCCAACACTTTCTTATCTTGAACAACCTTCTCGCCCTTGCATTGTGGGCAGCGGTCCTTATCACTGATGGTCTCCCCAGTTCCCTTGCAGTCATTGCATGGGTGCTGCATCTGTTGAATCATTGAAGGCCCCAACTGTCTTATGGAGACCTTCATACCTGATCCTTGGCAACCAGCACATGTCATTGAAGCACCAGACTTTGACCCCTTGCTGTCAGTCAATATACGGAATCACAGTTTTGCCGTTAGGTCTATCCATTCGAATCCATTAACAAAGCCCAGTCCACAAAGGTCAAGTCGACGATAAATAAAAAAATAAATAGAAAACAGTCCCCCTACCCTTTGCACTTTGAGCAGATGATATTCCTTGAAAGGGAGAGTTTCTTTGATGTACCATTATAGAGCTCCTCAAGAGACACCTTCAGGGGATGAACCACATCTTCTCCTCTCCTCTGCCTTCTGCCTCGGCTGCTTCCACCACCTACACCACCAAAACAACAAACAATCAGAATTTCATATACAGCCAGAAATCAAAATGATACAAGCAAACTGAACTAAGTATCAGAATTTCTCAGCACTCGTAAGATAGGCCACTACACCGCTATTGTCTGACTCGCTCTATTTGGCTACAGAGGAATGTACTGATGGAGAGAGAAGATCAAGGAATTTGAGAGGCATTTGCCCAACTTAAAACAAATTGCACGGACTCAAGAATGTTTCAACTAACAAAAGATAAATTGTATAGAACTTCTAATGCACTTGGAAGGAATTTACTTGAATCAACTAGACTAAAAATAAATTACAGGATAAAGGATGTTACTGAAAAGAAAGATCCAAGTGCCTAAGAAGAGCATTAACTATAAATATAGATGCAAATAGATGGCAAACTTTGCCCATAGATGTACATCACAACAGTATAACTTCACTAGCAGAGTCATGGAAATAACAGATAGAAGAGTCAGATACAGGAAAAGCAATGGCCACACCGAATGGATTGCCGCCAAAGAAGGACTGGAAAATATCAAATGGGTCATGGCCTCCAGCACCTCCACCCATTCCCTCCTTGAGAGCATCTTCTCCATATTGATCATAAATCTCCCTTTTTTCTCGATCACTTAGCACTTCGTATGCCTGTGCAAGTTCCTTAAACTGCAACAACAAAACACACCATATCATTCAGCACTTTATACCCTTCAGCAATCACATAAGTCTCTAATACAAGAGAATACGACCCACAAGCTACAAGAAATTGAGGCATTAAACCAAAATGAAGCACCTCACAAAAATCACACTTCTCAAAAACATGCTACAAATGGTAGTACCATGCCCATACTCAAGAAGTCAGTGAAGAGTTCACTATGTATTGCAATTGATGTAGAACTCGTAAGTCAAGTTCTGTCTTTTGCTTTCTCTTTGATGGTATTGACTCACAGAGTTGCAGTTATCCTTGTATTATTATTTTACAAGGGAAACCTCCGATACTGAACTATAGTTGTTTTAACCCAAGATTGAGGAGCATTCCATTATTGTTTGCAAATTTCTGTACAGCTCTCTCTGGTATCTCTTCATGACTACTTAAAGTACATTACATACACACGCCTCAGTTGTGGACACTCCCACAATGCATATGTCCAAGTTATAAGACACTCATGTCTGAGTTGGGGCACCCGTGCATATATTGCAAAGACACCCCATGCCTTAAATTTTAAAAAAAATCTAAATTAGGTAAATGTGCTCATTTGAAACAATAAGCATGCAGTCCTGACACTTCCATGAAGTGCAAATTGTTTAACAAGGTCCGAGTTGAAGTGTCTGTTTTAAAAAGCCATCTCTTAAACCAGTATCCATGTCGACACTCTTAACACCATTGTTAGCATCCTTGCCACCTTATATTTGATGATGCAGCAAGCAAGGCATCCAACAAATTCCGTGCCAACATGGGCTCATATAGGACATATGAAACCTAAAGAGAATCAAAGCAGGGTGGGTCCCTCCAAAAAATCTCCTAGTAAAGATGGCCCACCATATAGTTTCAGCTTCTGATTGAATTTGAATTTGTTTTTAATTATTTGTTGCACTTTATATTTAAGACTATATTCCCCAGTATTCCCCCTGAAATGGGATTTGCCATTTTAGCACTAGGAAGTGAAGTCCTTTCATACATGGATTTACAAGATGAGAACCCTAAGAGACACATTCCATCTGTTTCAGAAGATGGCTTGATTGTATTTGAGTTCAAGAATTGGTAGAATACAAAATGAAAACCACAATAGATGAATGTGTAACCCACTGGCCATAATTGTTAGATTCTTCCAACATAGGTGTCCATCCTGCTCCAAAATCTTACTCCGGTGCTAGAAGAAAGGAACCCTCAAGATTTCTCAAATATTAAATTTGGGATCTCTACCTCCACTATTATGGATATCAACCTCCATCTTAAAGATGGATGATTTTCTTTAGTTATAGCCAGCTAGCAATACAACCATATCAATACAATTGCACTGCTTGCTAGCCACAAATAAAAAGATCCCTACTTTAAAGAGTATGTATTATGTATAGTCCTTGACTATATATAATATTTAAGGTTGGGAACAAGATCCCCAAAAATCATGATTGAGATCCTCAAAAGGTTGATCCCCTCTTGACTCTAGACCTATGAGGATTTCAATCCCTAACATATTCAGTGTACGTAAAACATTCCCAACCATATCCCGATCCCAATCCCAACACAGCAATTGGCCAAATGGATCAATTCTTGTGCAATAAAATTTGAACTCATTCAAATATGGTGAGAGACCACTTAATCATGCTGCTCCCTTTGTCAAGGAGATTCGAGAAATGTTATTACTTGGGCCTCCGGCCCTGCCCATGGAGAGTTGAATCCATTTTTTGATGAACTAGCTGTCATCTGCGGCCCTTTAAGAATCACTTGGAAACATGTTTTCAGGGAAGCACATGCTGCTGCTGACACTTTAGCAAGGGATGGTGCTCGCCTCAACAACTCTCTGGCTGTTTAGAAGAATTTTCCTCCCTTCTAATCAGTATCATTAACTTTATTTTTTTTGGTCCCTGTTGGGTTTTGTAATGGGCACCTGTTAAGCAGGTACGACTAACCTTGTAAATTAAATGTGTTTATATGCACATGATCTACACTGTAATTTCCTTTCATTAGCACAAATGTGAACATTATCAAAAAAAAAAAAACGAGAGAGATTCTAAAAAACTAGCTCACTATTACGCGTTTCTCCTATAACTCAAAGCCTTCTTCATTCCCTCATGTTTGGCACTTCCCCTATCAAATTCTCCCAAAAAAAAAAAAGAGAGAAAAAACGAGAGAGATTCTAAAAAACTAGCTCAATAGTACGAGTTTCTCCTTTAACTCAAAGCCTTCTTCCTTCCCTCATGTTTGGCACTTCCCCTTTCATTTTCTCCCCAACAAGTTAAAGGCTTCTTCATTCCATCTTGTGTATCACTTCCCCTTGAAAATTCCCCTCAAAAAACATTATCACCCCATTTTCGCACCATCAAATTGACCGCTCCCAAGCACTCAAGCCCAAAACCATCAGTTATGCCCCTAGGCCCTAAACCTTAAAACCCAAACCCTAAACCCCAAACCATTACATGTATCCCAAAGCCCCCCAACCCTAAATTAGTCCTAATCTCACCACATTCCCATAAAATCCGTCACCACATTCCCCAATAGGTGCGCCTTGTATTTGCTAGATGAAGAATCAAATGCTCATTTACTACTCCACTGCAAGTTCTCCAAAGCAATTAGGAAGAAAATCATGGAACTTTTTGAGTAGGCCTGGGCTACCCCAAGCTCAATCCCTCACTTGTTTCAAACTTTTTGAAGGGACCCTGGGTTACCCCAAACTCAATCCCTCACTTGTTTCAAGCTAAACTCCTCTCCCCGTGGCCCAAGGCTAGTAGATTCCTTTGGAAAACCTCTATTTTAGCAACTATTTGGGTATTATGAACCGAAAGAACACAGGATTTTCAGAGGAGAGAATTCCACGACTAGTCTCTTGACAAAGAAAATCAGAAATCTCGTGGCTTTCTGGGCTACCAACCACAAGTGTTTTAGGAACTCCTCTCACTGATTTCCAAAGTAACTGACCTAACCTACTACAGCGAGCTCAACCCAAAATCTCAAGGGCATCATTGTGGAGACCACCTGTTAGGGGTACCATTAAGCTAAAGTTTGATGGTTGCTCCCTCGGCAACTTGGGACCCTAAGGCATAGGGGGCCTTTTTCGTTCTAGTGATGGATCGACTCTGTTCTACCGACCTATTGGAGTTGCTGACTCCACTCCTGCTAAGGCTATTGCCCTTTTGGCGGGCCTTCGCAAGTTTGATCCCTCTTGGAGTCCATATTTGGTAGTTGAAGGAGACGGCAATAATATTATCTCTTGTGCATCCAATCATTCATCTCGGTCATGGCGTTTCGATGACGATTTCGAAGAGATAGTGCATCTAGCCAGGATTTGCAATGCCACTTGGAGGCACGTTTATAGAGAAGCCAATTCATAAATTGATGTTTTAGCAAAAGAGGGGGGCCTCTTCTAACTCCCCTGGGTGGAACTAGTTTTTTGTGTGCCCACCTCATTTCCATTGACCCTCTTAAGAGTCTTTTCTCCATTGTCCTTTTTTGTCCCTCGAGGGCTGTATAGTGTGACCCTGCAAAGTCACCATGCTTCTTGCTCGTCTTGTAATCTTTACTATTTATTAATGCAATTATAGTGAACTCCTCTCAAAAATCTCTATAGGGTCACCATACTTCTTGCTCGTCACTTTTTCTTGTTGGACATGTATGTGAAGTTAAGCAATTTGCTCATAACAACCTACCTCTGAACCTAACATTGTTTTCCCCTATCATACCAAAACCATCTACATCATTTTAGCCTCAATCGTCCCCCATTTAGACATGCAATTTCAAAATCCTATTTGAATTGAAATGCATCAGTATCCTCAACACCTTGCCACCCTGTATTTTGTAACATCCCTAAACCTCGTATGACTCTCAACGAGAAATCCTAAAATAATTAAGAAACCCACCTTGATTAAGACTCTAATTTCAATTATGATCCCCAAACCAAGAATCCTAACCTAACTTTATTTCTCATCAATCTCCATACTCCAGCCTGCAAAAGGTTGATACACTCACTTGGCATCCAGTTATGTTGGCTACTGCATTGACATCTAGGTAATTGCAGAGCGACCATCTCATAACAAGGAGCTAATGACAGAGGATTGCCGCATTTAATGTTTCTTGTTGCATTCCCCACTATAAAGCAATTTGGCCTTCTGACTATGAACCCCAAGCCACCATAGTTTCATATAGTGGAACGCCACCATTGATTCACATGAATGGAACACCCACTTATTCTACTTGGCACCTTGTGTATGTTTAAAATATACTATGCTCTAAATCACTATAGCCACACTATAAGATTGATCCAGAAAAGTTGCATCTATTTTGCCTATATTAAGACTCAATTGAGTAACCAATTCAATCAGAAACCGGTTGTGTATGCATTCTCAACTATCATGTCAGGCGCCAAGTCAAAATCTTCAGGAAAAAAGCAGATCACCTATCAATCTCGCCAAAATGGATAGATGAAATGCATCCACATGTTCAGGTCATATAAAGTATAGAAGCCTTCTCTATGCGAGCGAGCAGACATCTGTATCATATTCTGATGATGATTGTGAGTTTTGTCTTGCTCCCAACTTCCCATCCTCCTACCCTTCATTTTTTTACTAGATATCAAATGTAACCAATTCAAAAAGAGTTCAAAGAAAAGAAAACACATACCAAAATAATTTCCTTTCTTCAGATATGCAATTCAGTGAATCTCAAATTCCAGAAACATTGCACCAACAATTTCCAGAAATCTATATTTTGATTAATTGGCACAGAGAGGTTTTAACATAGATTTCTCAAAAAAAAAAAAACAAAAAAAAAAAATTGTGGGGTCACAGTGAAGGCATATCAATTGATTGAAAACAATAAACATGTCTTTGCATGCCTGCAATGCAATCAGATCTATGAGAGAAGCTGTAAAAATTATTAGGAAGGGAGGGGTACAAGAAGATGAGATGATCTGTGCGTGCCTACCTTTTCGGGATCACCACCCTTGTCGGGGTGGTTCTTAATGGCAGCCTTCCTGTAGGCCCTCTTCAGATCCTCCTGCGATGCGTTCTTTGAGACCCCCAATATCTCATAGTAACGCGTATTGTCGCTTTTCTTTGGCGCCGCGCGACCAAACATCTTTCCTCACTGCTTCTCACTGAAACACCACACAAACAAACAACACTGCAATCCAAAAGGGAATCGCTTTATTTAGAAAGAGAGAAAAGGCGATCCTTTCCTCTCTTCGCTTCGAGAGAGCCTACAATTGCAATTTTCCCTCTGGAATTCACCTAGCTAAGCTAGAGAGAGAGATCGTGCTTTCTTTCGAGAAACCCCTTGACCTCACAAGACGGAGACAGAGAGAGATCGATCCGAGAGACGAGAGAAGAACACAGAGCAGCAGCGCTCCTGGAGCCAAGCTGAACTGCGATTTATATAAGGTGTGGCCTTTTGAATGGACGGCTTAGATGAGGTTCTTAGAAACGCAGTGCAGCACACCGTTGATCGTAGGAAGACAGAGGTCCAAGGCTACGAGAAAGGAAGACTCTGGAAGGTCCTCCTCCTTTCCGGAATGGATACGTGACAGACCGTTGGATGATTCATCCGACGGTTAACACTACCCTTCTGGATGCTTCGGTCACCGGGCAACAAGAGCATCCGTTTCTATCCACCCAACCCCTAATATGAGGAAATGTGTTTGGCGAGTCAGCCGACTCTCACTATTTTTATGCGGTCTCCCTATAAAATATATCCCATCTCAAAGATGATAATCTCAACGATGGCAATATGATCTAAAGTTAGAATTTTTCTTTCAAATAATATAAATATTATTTCTTGAATTCCTTCCTTTTTCTTTACTTTCATTTTAACTTTTAGTGGATGTAACATTTTTAATCTTAGATTTATCAAAAGGTCATCATATAATCTTGATTTTTGTGTTTGTATTATTTTTACAAGTTTATTTATATGATGTGCCAAATAAATCAAACAAAAGGAAATTATCAAAATATACCTTTTTTTTAGATTATTATAAATAAATCCTACAAATTTCAAAACATCATCCATACTTTTTTTTTTCCATTGTTTGCGTTTTTTTTTATGAAAATACCCTTCACGGTAATCTTAAATATGTGAAGGCATCACGATCGACCCAAAACTATGATGGTTATAATGGTTTCTAAGTCAATGCATCTTGGTACTTAAAAAACGCATCATGGTACTTAAAGAACTGTGATCAGTTTCTGGACTTATCACATGGTCACTTGAAGCATCACGGCATATAGAGAACCGTGATGGTCACTTGAATCATCACGATACTGAAAGAGCCATGATGGGTTTTTTTTACCATCACATGATGACTTGAAGCATCATGGTAGTTAAAAAACTTTGATAGTTACTTAAAGCATCATGACACTTAAGGAACCGCGATGGTTACTTGAAACATCACAACACTAAAAGAATTGTAATATCTTCACATACCTAACACTTCCATGAAAGGTATTTTAGTATAAAAAAAAAAAGTGAAAAATAGTGAAAAGGGGCATGGATGACGGTTTGAAAATTTTAAATTTAATTTCTAATAATCCAAAAAAGTTGTCTATTTCTTATAATTTCCCAAAAAAAAAATTTGTATAATATCCTCATGTTTAAAATTTAAGTTTTCTACCAAGTTTTTTATATTTTAAAATTATTTTCATTCGGATACCTACTCAACTATTTTATTAAGGGTGTGATTTATATAAGGATGAGGCCCCAAACAATCAAAAAGACGCACCTTCAAATAGTGTCGAAATATCGTTTCAGAACTGAAAAACTTTATGATGATCTGAAAATTTATTTTCAACTCTATTTATGAAATTTCAAGCTTCAAAAATAAGTGTAGATCAAACAAATCTATGAACACTTCAAAATTGACTGTCTAGATAATGCATTACATGATGCACTATTTCCAAGACTTGACGTCTTACTTCTTTTTTTGAAGTCGGATTTGAGGGATTTTCAGCATCAAAACAACTTCTTTGACTTTAGGTGCGCCTTAATGTGATTGTTTAGGGCATTGACCTTATGAAAACTTTTTCCTTTTATTAAAAAGTACCTACACGGCTCTTATTTTCAGTTTGGATCATGAAAAGTGAGGGCCCTTTAACAATTTAGCCACTTAAGCCACTCATGCAAAATCACCTAAACTTAGATACCGGACTTAGATACCGGAACAAACACAAGTATTTACATCATAAATTCCCCACTCGGTCCAGGTCCCAAAACAAAACTAAAGATCTAATGATAAAATGTGTTTTGGATTTAAAAACTAGAAAAAATGATGGGTATTTAGATCATTTAAAAGTACATAAATTGCTCTTATTTCCAGTTTGGATCATGAAAAAATGAGAGAATTTTAACAATTTAGCCGCTTAAGTCACTCATGCAAAATCACCTACATACTCATGTTTGTTCTTGGTTCAAAACTCAAGACAAACATTTTTAAATAAAACATATTGTACCAAACTTAAATATCTGGTGAGGCTAAATTACCAAATTTCCACACTCGGTCCAAGTTCCAAAACGAAACTAGAGATTTAATGATAAAACATGTTTTAGATTTAAAATCTAGAAAAAATATGGGTATTTTGATCATTTAAAAGTACCTAAAATACTTTTATTTCCACTTTGGATCATGAAAAAGTAGGGGCATTTTAACAATTTAGCCACTTAAGTCACTCATGCAAAATCACCTAAATACCCTTGTTTGTTTCCCGTTCCCAACTCAAGACAAGCATTTTAAAAATAAAATATCTTGTACCAAACTTAGATATTGGAACAAGCACGAGTATTTACATCATCTTGATTGGTGACTTAAGTGGGGCTAAATTACCAAAATTCCCCACTTGGTTCAGGTTCCAAGACGAAACTAGAGATCTAATGATAAAGCACGTTTTGGATTTAAAATCTACAAAAATGATAGGTATTTGGATCATTTAAAAGTACCTAAATTGCTTTTATTTCCTCTTTGGATCATAAAAAAGTGAGGGCATTTTAACAATTTAGCCACTTAAATCACTTATTCAAAATCACCGAAATACCCTTGTTTGTTTCTGGCTCCAAACTCAAGACAAGTATTTTAAAAATAAAATATCTTGTACCAAACTTAGCTACCGAAACAAGCATATGAGCATTTACATCATCTTGCTTGGTAACTTAAGTGGGGCTAAATTGTCAAAATTCCCCATTTGGTCTAGCTTCCAAAACGAAACTAAAGATCAAATGATAAAATACGTTTTGGATTTAAAATCTAGAAAAATGATCGGTAATTAGATCATTTAAACGTACTTAAACTACTCTTATTTCCAGTTTGGATCATAAAAATGTGAGGGCAGTTTAACAATTTAGTCACTTAAGTCACTCATGCAAAATCACTTAAATACCATTGGTTGTTCCAGGTTCCCAACTCAAGAGAAGCATTTTTTAAAAATTATATTGCACCGCACTTAGATATTGGAACAAGCGAAAGTATTTACATCATCTTGCTTAATAACTTAAGTAGGGCTAAATTACCAAAATTCCCCACTTAGTTCAGGTTCCAAAACGAAACTAGAGATCTAGTGATAAAACGCATTTTAAATTTAAAATCTATAAAAAGGATGGGCATTTACATGATTTAAAAACACATAAACTGCTTTTTTTTCCAATTTGAATCATGAAAAAGTGAGGGCATTTTAACAATTTAGCCACTTAAGTCACTCATGCAAAATCCCCTAAATACCCTTATTTGTCCCCGATTCCAAACTCCATTCAAGCATTTTTAAAATAAAATATATGCACCAAACTTGGATATCGAAACAAGCATGAATATTTATATCATCTTGCTTGGTGACTTAATTGGGGCCCAATTACCAAAATTCCCATCTTGGTTCAGGTTTTAAAATAAAACTAGAATTCTATTGATAAAACATGTTTTGTATTCTTATTTTCAGTTTGGATCATGAAAAAGTGAGGACATTTTAATAATTTATCTGCTTTAGTCACTCATGCAAAATCACCTAAATACCCTTGTTTGTCATCGGTTCCAAACTCCAAACAAACATTTTTAAAATAACATATCTTGCACCAAACTTAGATGCCGAAACAAACATGAGTATTTACATCATCTTGCTTGGTGTCTTAAGTCGTGCTAAATTACCAAAATTCCTCACTTGCTCCAGGTCCCAAAACAAAAATAGAGATCTAATGATAAAAAGCATTTTGGATTTAAATTCTATATAAATGATGGGTATTTAGATCATTTAAAAGCACTTAAACTGCTCTTATTTCATGTTTGGATCATTAAAAAGTGGGGGCATTTTAACAATTTAGCTACTCAAGTCACTCATGCAAAATCATCTAAATACCCTTGTTTGCCCGGTTTCAAATCCAAGACAAGCATTTTTAAAGTAAATATCTTGTACCAAACTTAGCTACCGGAACAAGCATGAGTATTACATCGTCTTGCTTGGTAACTTAAGGGGGGCTAAATTGTCAAAACTCCCCACGTAGTCCGGGTTCCAAAACGAAACTAGAGATCTAGTGATAAAACTCGTTTTGAATTTGAAATCTATAAAAAAGATGAGTAGTTAGATCATTTTAAAGTACCTAAACTGCTATTATTTCCAGTTTGGATAATGAAAAAGTGATGGCATTTTAACAATTTAGACACTTAAGTCACTCATGCAAAATTGCCTAAATACCCTTGTTTGATCCCGGTTCCAAACTCCAGATAAGCATTTTTAAAATAAAATAATATTTGTACCAAACTTCGATACTAGAATAAGCACGAGTATTTGCATCATCTTGCTTGGTGACTTATGTGTGGCTAAATTACCAAAATTCCTCTCTTGGTTCAAGTTCCAAAACGAAACTCGAGATCTACTAATAAAACACGTTTTAGATTTAAAATCTAGAAAAATGATGGGTATTTAGATCATTTAAAAGTACTTAAACTGCTTTCTAGTTTGGATAATGAAAAAGTGATGACATTTTAACAATTTAGCCACTTAAGTCACGCATGTAATATCATTTGAATACTCTTATTTGCTTCTGGTTCCAAACTCAAGACAATCATTTTTAAAATAAAATATCTTGCACCAAACATTGATGCCAGAGCAAGCACGAGTATTTACATCATCTTGCTTGGTGACTTAAGTGGGGCTAAATTTCCAAAATTCCTCACTTGGTCCAAGTTCCAAAACGAAACTAGAGATCTAATGATAAAACGTGTTTTGAATTTAAAATTTAGAAAAATGATGGGTATTTAGATCATTTAAAAGTACCTATACTGCTCTTATTTCTAATTTGGATCATGAAAAAGTGAGGGAATTTTAACAATTTAGCCACTTAAGTCACTCGTGCAAAATCACCTAAATACCCTTATTTGTTTCCAATTCCAAACTCAAGA